AATTTTGAAATTCGTAATTTTAAATAACGATTGAATTTTAATATCTCATATACAATAATTAACCCCCGTGTATATATAAAAGCTTTGCCCTTCGATTTGATTTAGGAAACAACAATAACAAGAAAGAACTTTGACAGTAATTTAATAACTAATAATTGTGAATTTGTGATCATGAGTTAGTTGGGGTCTTGGCAACTATTAAAAAATTGAGTGAGAAAATGAGTATTGAATTATAATCCATGTTATTTAATTTAACGTTTATGTTGTGTCTCCACCAAAATTGAAATAATAATACAATATATCTTGCCGCTCAAGAAATTAAAGTCACACACACACACATATAAGGACCTTTTAAAGATATGATAACTCCAAATAATTTTATGTACATATATACACATATTTGGAATTGATTTTAGTATGTGATAAAAGAAAATAATGTTTTTTCTTAATTTACTAAAATGAATAATAGGACAGGTAAAAAGAAAATTTTATTTTTTAATAAAAAGACTAATTAAGTGAAGATATATTCCCCTAGGATCTAGCATTATGTACTTGGAAAGGATCCCAACATACATGTTTGTCTTTTAATAGAGAAAAACAAGAGGAATAAGTAATAAAAATTGGCTTCCCCATTTTATTTATTTTTTTTGGATAGGATTAGACTATTACTACTCACTCTTTTTTAACTTTTTTTAGTTTGATCATAGAATTTGAAACTTTAGTTTTAAGTTTTATTTTTAAATTAATTATAATTTTGTGAAATCTGCATAAAATTTCGTTAAATTATTATTTCAAGTCTCAAATTCATTATTATTTTTTCAGTTCACTTAGTGGTAATTATTTTTACCAATTATAAATACTTTAATTATAAAAGAATAACACATAAATATAAATAAAATAGTTAAAAACTCATTCAAATTACTCCTTTCGTCTCGAATTAGTGCTAACCGTCCAAATTAAGCAGTGTGTAGTTTTGCCGAATTGCCTTAATTCATTGAAATATTTGTTCATAAAATGATACAAATTAATTATTATGGAAGTTTCGAAGAATTGCTTGAGAGTGAGTAATAAAAATCTAATCCCAAAATAAATAAATAATAATAATAGTCCTCCTTATATTTTCTAAAAAAAACTCGGTTTAATGTTTTTATTTTTCGTTTTTTATTAATTTTTCATCTCTTCAATTCTATACAAACAAAACAAAGGGGGAAAAGAAAAAAAATGCCAGGAAACAAAGATGTTCTTTCCTAAGAAATAAATTTTAATGACTTGTCTTTGTCCGTCTTTATTTCATTCTATTCAAAATAATTATTTTATCTCCAAAAGATAATTCAAAATAATTAATGTTTCACAAAATTAAAAAGGTAGTCCTTCCATCCAAAAATATTTATTCATGATTGATTTCGTACATTTCTTAAGAAACTATAATTAGAAAGGTAATTTATTATATCATCATTTTAATATACACATTTCGTCCGGTATTATTTGTCATAATTTCTATTTTTACAGTCAAACTATAAAAACTTTGACTAACATTTTAAGATGCATTTTTTCATCATATTAATATGCAAAAAATTGTAATTTATAATACTTTTCATATAATTTTAAAATATCTAATTTTTTTTTCTTTAAAATATCAAATCAATGTTATCTAAGTTACCTTTGAAATTAGTCAAATTAACTTTCGATAAGCGCAACATGACAAATATTTTCGGACGGAGAAAATAATAAATATATATCTTGAAAAATATAATAGAAAAATAACTATAATTAATGATAAAGGAAATTAAGTATAGATTATTGTATTGTGTACAAGAGGGGGTATATGACTTTTTTTTGTTATAATTGTTGTCATATCTTAGTTAATTATTATGCATCTTGACTTATTTTACTAAAAATGTCATCTCTCATTAGCAACATGTATTAAATATCTCTCCACGAAAGCTAGAATGAATGAGTAGAAATTATCTGGTGTTTTATAGTATTTATCTTTGCAAAAATCTGATTATATCAATCTAAGAAGGAAAGAAAATCTGTAAAAATCTGATTATATCAATCTAAAAAAGAAAGAAAATCGTTATGATTAGATCGATGTTTATTTTTATTCTAAAATTTAAAACATTGATCGCTTTAAATTTAAGAGACTATATGATATTCAGAAAAATAATGACAATAATATATCTAATGTAATTTTTAATAGAAAAAATTATCAATAATATATTTAATATAATTTTTACAAATTTATATATAAAAAAATAAAAAAAATTATTTTCAATAAAAATTGCATTCAAACAAACAAACGAACGTATATCAAAATTATTAATGAAAAAAAAATATAACGTATAACAAACGAACGTATATCAAAATTAGTAATGAAAAAAAAATATAACGTATAACAAACGAACGTATATCAAAATTAGTAATAAAAAAAAAATATAACTTATATCAAATTTAAAGTCATTTTCGTCTGAGATTTACATGTTGCTATTGACCGACCATATTAAAGGCACATGTCTGACTATTTTTCAAATTTGATTTACGAATAAAAGTTATATTTCGGCTATACTTTCGTCACGATTTAAATTAATTTTTTTCAAATCTTCTATTTACGGTGCATTTGGATATACATTTAATTTTTTCAAATATCTTTTCCAAGTTTGTTTCTTTAAACTAAATTGGGTTATATGTCAAAAAAATTTAAGTGTCAATTTTTCACTCTAAATATCTTTCGAGAACAAATAGTTTAGAAACTCTTAATTTCAAGTGAAATGCGTATTTATATATATATATATATATATATAAATATTTCAAACTTTATTTTAAAATTATTGAGAAATTAATGATAGATAAAATTTCGTAATAGCTAAACGATAAAAATCTGAACGTTATCATATTTAACTTTGTATATTTTAAAATTACCCTGAAACGTTCTATCGATGGATTTGTTAGAAATGGCTGATAAATTTAATTGTTCATTTCATATTTTCTTGTTATGAATATCCTATAGTTTATACTAATAATAAAAACTTGATGGCGATGTAAAATCGAATTAGGACGGTTATATTAAGTTCAAGCAACAAAATGATTGAAACCTTTTCAGGCAAAAAAATATAAAAACATAAATCTGATACTGACAAATATATATATATATATATATATATATATATATATATATATATATATATATATATATATATATATATATATATATATATATATATATCATATAATAATATAGTACTAATATTATTAATTAGTCGATCGGTGTGTGTCCATGTCACTTGGTCCTTGTCATTTCATTTTCCATAGTTCACAATTTCATACACACACATCATTTTTTAACGTCGTCTAATGTAGATTTATACTCAGTTTCATCTAAGTTTACAAGAAAACAAGTGTTAATAAAGATTGTATATTTGTATATCCAAGGAGAAAGGATTTTTTTCCACACCTATTTGTATTTATATCAGGAATCATATTTAGAGTTGCTAAAAATTTATTTAAAGTGAATATATTTAATAAGTGAGAAGCGGAGCCAAAATAATTTTTTTTTTGTTTTGGAGATAAGAGATAAGAATTTGAAGAAGTCAAATTAGAAATTCATCATTATTGTATATATATTATTAAAAGTAATTTTAACATCGTATATGCATTGTTTTTTTACTGAACAAAATTCAAGTGAAACTCGTTGTGGAAAGTTTGTTACTTCAATATTCTCATATTATACTACTAAGTAATCAGTAGCGAAGTCAGGATTTTCTTAAAGGGTGTTCAGAAATATTAATTTATTATGCTAAAGGTATCCAAAATATATTATTTGATCATTTACTAATATATATGCTATTTTTTCGACGAATTGGACACCCTTATCTCTACGTGGCTACATCATATATAAGAGTGTTTCTTCATAGTAATAAATAAAATCACGTATCATATTTAAAACGACATAATATATTCATAGAGTATTATCATACACACACCAAAGAAGATTTTATGTGTGGTGTTGGTTTAGGTCAGGTCTAGTCTGTTGAACAATTACAAAGAAGCTACCAAACAAAGACTTGGAAATTTTCAAAAGAGGAAAAAGACCCTCCTATTCCTTTATTCTTTTGGGGGAGAAGTACACTTTTAATCACATCAAAAGCGTTCAATATCACTCAATTAATAATTATTAATCTCGTATAAAATTATTTTTTTCACTTGATTTCAATTTTCTTCAATAAAAAAAATAAATGTCTAATCCCTCAATCTCATTTTATGTAGCACAAATTTCTTTTTAATTCAATCCAAAAAGAAAGTCATCTTACTATAATTAAAATTAATTTAACTTTAAAATACCTCTTTTATATATCCTTAATGAAATGATTTACAACCATGTCAAATATCTAAGTACTGTTTTACATTGATGGAACAAATCATTCTAAAAAAAGTGATATGCTTAACACAAACTTTTCTTTTTGCCTATTCCTAGAAAAGAGTTGATTCAATAGACAAGTCGAGCAGAAGGGAAGAGCTCCCCAAATCCTACGGTCAAGAAAAAGGCTAAGAGAACTTATTTAACTTCTAGCTCGTTAGGGGTGGGGTTCCTAATACTAAGGCTGATAATGCCGTATACTACGACTGGAAAAAAGAATTGACCTCTAGAGAATTCATTTTTAATGTCTCATTATGACCTTAAGGACTCCTTTAAAGTGGGTTGAAACCTCATTTCTTATAATAGAAATAGGACCGTAAATCTAAAAGAATTGGTGCATAGATAATGCAATTGATGAAAAAAAGGATCTGGTCTTTCATTACCAATTCCTTTCATTTTTTATTCAGGATGATTTGTCCAACCCTGCTGGACGAGATCATAAGTTTCAAAAGTCTCATTTTTTTTAAATCAAATATTATGTCAAATCAAACGGTATCACATAAAATGAAACGAAGGTAGTCCTGGAATAAATGGTGAATTCCACTGTCTTATCAAAATAACCGATTGAGTTGTAACACATGAAAAATAATTGAAATGAATATGATGTATATTATCAGTGTCATTGAACCCAATGCTAGAACTAGAAATAATTAACAAAAATATTAAAACTTTTACAAATATCAATTTATCCAAATTTCATGATTTTAGGAGCAAATCTCAAAAGCCTATCTAAAGTGCTAGGCAAAAACTTCCTAGCAAACAAGTAACACATGTTACTGGGCTGCCCATTATACTCACATTTGGTCCCATTTCTCATCCCATAAAGCAAATCTTCTGTCACATCAGGCCTGATAAATTTTGTTGGATGAGGCCCACCTTTGGCCCAATCAACCCAAGTCAATGTTCTATTTTCATTTTTCCACCAATATTTCATTGTCACAAATGTTGGCAAATAATGTTCATCTGAATAACATGCTGGCCTACAAAATCTCTTGAACAAATTAGAATATTTTTGATCCGATATTATGTCGATGGCGATCTCTCGATCGACCTCGAACCATTGGGACCCTTTTCGCCATTGGGCTAGGGTTACCAATGGTTTCATTTTCTTGTTGTAACGACCTCGTCCCACTGGGCTTATCAAATCGTAAGACTCCATGAATGTGTTTGCGGAGTTGATGATGTAGTCATAGATGGTCGTGAAGTCGTATAGAGGAATGCATGACTCCGAAAGAAGCACGAAACGTTCGTTCGATATGTCTAATAACGCGTTCGCTAGTAATCGTCGCTCTGCTTCCACCATGTTGAATTTTCCCCATTCTACTTTCTGCATAAAATAACATGTTAAAATGTTGAGTTTATGATTTACTAAACAATTAAATCTTTAGGTGGGGGAAAATGGATTTTTGCAATAAGTGAAAATTTCAATGGACTCAAAAATATACTTTCCTAAAAGCCCAGATAGTTATCCTTCTAAAGTGGTTAATTGGGCCAACTCCAATATGGGCTCTGCTTCAAATATAAAGAAACATGCATATTTATTAACTATAAAAAGTAAATTGTAAATCTGACCGACTATTTACGTAAAAGTTTCGATTTTTTTTTTGGTGGAGTCTAACATGTTCTTCTAGAGTTCACGTGAAAAAGATAAAGATGCCAAGGCACAGAAGAAAGGAATTTTATAAAGCGTTTTTTTTTTTCTCTAAGTTGGCAAAAGGAGTAGAATAAAAGAAATTTACAACAAAAAGTGTTTTGTCTTAGAAAACTTAATCAACTAGTTTCTTACCCTAAAAAACTTCAATTTTAGAATCAAATATTTATCACCATGTCAAAAGCTATATAAGTGATAATAGTAAAAGTGAATTTAGGATTTTAAAACATATATAGATATACTTAAACGTGAACCATAGATAACATTCTGGATCTATTATTTATAATATATTTTTTTTGTTAATTAAATCTATCAAACAAGCACCATAAGTTTGGTACATCACATAAGTTCCTCCATAAAGCATCATAATTAGCATTAATTACACAAACAAAAGTGTCGTAAAATAGTCTAATCTTACAATATTATAGCCAAAGAGTAGCTGGATTCTCGGCAATTAATGCCACACAAGACAAATAAATGGTCTAAGTCAACTAATATATGGTGGTGATGTATATTCATCAAAATCTGCTATTTAGAATATTGCATCATCAACAATATAAAAATTTTTATATTCGGTAGATTCAAAATTTAAATTTAATAATTTAACTCGTGGATCAGTTTCCATGCTGTCTAGTAAAACACGGACCATTTGATACGGCACCAGTTGATTTTTTCTCCTCACCAAACTTTATATATTTTTGCACTATACTAGGTTTGTGCGTAATACTTTATAAATGAACTTGTAGATCTCTAGACCATGAAAACAAACAAAACATATATATATATATATAGAGTGTTTCTGATACAAATGTAGAATCTATGAAAAATTAATTGAATTCGTCCAAATCCATGAATCTCATGACTCAGCTTCATCTCTGGTCTAACGGATGGTTAAATATCATTTTTTTTCATCACATTATAATTAATACTTCTCATATATTAGTTCGAGTTCATGCAAAAAATAACAATTACTTCTCATATATTAGTTCGAGTCCATGCAAAAATAACAATTATTTTCTCATCTGTCCAAGCTTTGATAGAATAATTTTGGGCTAAACACCATAATTATGTATCAAAATACTTATGGTTAAATATTGAGTTTAGGCAAATGAAGACGTTGAGTACTTAAGATAGTTCATGGTAAATCCCATGTCCGTAAAATTGCTATCTATAATCTATAATCTATAATGACCTAGATTCGAAGCAGACAATATCAAATGAAAATTATAATTAATATATCAAATAGTGATAGTAAATTAAACTTACCTTACTTGCTACTCTTCTGTCATGAAAAATAGGTCCTTCTTGTGGAGCACTTCCATTAAAAGATGGTTGAGAATGAATATAAATAGAATAAAGGCCTTCATGTCCTTGGAAAAATCTTTCCCATAATGGTGCCAATGGTAAACTTCCTCTTGCAAGAAACATAAAAGCAATCTTTGGTTTTCTATTAAATGGCAAATCACTAACACTTGGCACCATCATAGCCCTCCATATCAAGTCTTCATCTTTCATAACATGTTTAGGAGTACTAAATTTTGGTGTCTCCATAAAATCTTTTAACCTTATTCCACTAAGGTCTAAAATTTTGGTCTCATTATTATTTAAAACAAGAGGAATAATATTTTCTTGTTGAGGTTGTGGAAGTGATGGTGGGGTAATTGGTGTAGGGTGTGGGGGTGGGGGTGGTGGAGGTGGAGGTGAGGTGAATTGGATTATTTGGGGGAAAAATAATTTGTTTTGTAAAGTGTTGGGAATTAGGTCTTGGAGATAAAAAATTAGTGTTATACCAATTGCTAAACCAGACCCAAATAAAAAAAAATAGGACACAAGATTATGGAGGTACCTTTGAGAAATAGTGAATAGTTTTGTAGTGGTGAATTGATATTGTTGTTCATTCTTCATTTTCTTGAAAATCTATGGGAAAAACAACAATACACACTCTCTGTAATCCCACAAGTAGAGTCTGAGAAAGATAAGATATGCACAGAATTACTGATCTTGCTTTTGCCTTTTGTAGGATAGGATATAAAAGTTATTTCTGATATATTGCGAAAAGATTGTAAGTTGAGTTATCTAGCACACAATCATACACAAAGCGAAGAGAGAAGAAAAAACACAAAGGATGAAAAAATGTACAACGACAACTCTTATATATAGATTTCGAGTAGCTAGTCTCCAAATCCTACTAGATTTTCTTTCCAAAATCTATTAGGACAATGGATTTTCTAAATCAATAGGAATTATGATTTTTCTAAAAATATATAATAAAAAAAAATAAACAAATTCAAGACATAATTCGAAAAAAATACTGGGAAAGGGAAGAAGAAGAAATGGAGTAAAGCAAAAGAGGAGGAGGAAATATATATAGTTGAGATGGAAGCAAAAAAATTAACTAGAATTAGACACAAGATATGTTCTAATTAATTATTATTTTAGTTAATTTTTTTTAATATCTCCAAGACATTCATGTAAGGATTTCAGTAATATGTAAAAGAAAATTGTATTTAATATTCACTTGATTTACCTCTCCTATTTATCTTTTTCGTTCTACAATAATCTGAACGTGTTACTATCAACAAAAGATTATTTGTACAAGAGAGGTTTTTATAGAAAATAAATTTACAGAAAATATTTAGTAATCTGGATTAATATTAATTACATGAATTATTATAATGTAGAAAAAGATAGAAGAGGAAACGTGATGATTTAATCATTGTTGAAAAAATGTAAAAGAGGAAGAAGGAATTGAGTAATTGTGAAAATTACCAGAGAGAGAATATTCTTGGAGTTGATGTTGAGACATGTTGAGGGAATATTTAATTATTATTCAACAGATTTAAGAAAAAAAATTAGTAGTTTTTACAGCAATAATTTACAAGATTTTTTTTTAATTTTTTTAGATAGAAGAAAGATGGAGGAAGAAGAAGAATTTGTGTTATGCCAAGTGGATACCAATTAATCCAAAAATATTTCCATGACTTCCGGAAGACAACCTTAGGCATTGGCTACTCCACGTACCTGTCCTCCGTTTAAAAAATAATAATAAAAAAATTTAATTTGTTTTAAAAAAGAATGACTCTTTTCTTTTTTTATAACAATTTTAATTTTAACTTTCTACGTGACATGTTTAAGACCACAAGATTAAAAGATATTTTGATACATTTGACATAACTTTAATTTAAAATTACAAAATTTAAAAATTTTCTTTCTTTTCTTAAACTCCGTTCCAAGGTCATCCTTTTTTAAGCGTAGGAAGTCATTTTTCTGTGAGACAGAAATTTATAGAAAATCAACTTATTAAAAGTCCTGGTCTTTCAGTTGACAGAAATTTATGAACTCGTAAAGTCCTGGTCTTTCAGTTGACAACGATTATAGAAAATCAAAAGGGACTTATTTTTTTAAATTGAGACACATTAGTTTCCATTAAACACAACTTATTCATTGGTAATTGGGATGATTGTTGAAAAAAGTGAAAGACAATTCCGTAACGGTAAGGTAGATACAAGAAATATAATAGAATACAGTTTTACCTTGATTTGATGTGTTTTATTATCAATAAATATTTTATGATTTCCTAAAATGAATGTATGGTCAAACATCAGCCATGATTTGTGGCATTTCTTATGGTTCCCTCCTTTTTTCCAAGCAAATAGTGCAGCAACAAGACAGAGAAGTCACATAGGCATTACAGACCCAACCCCCTATCTCATAAGATAGAGAAGTTGTTTCCGATAGACCCTCCGTTGAAGTAAAGCATCCAAAGACAGTTTGAAAAAAGAGAATACAGAAATGAAAGTAGTTTCGTCCACTGTATACCTCTCATGTATATCAAGCTCTTTATCTGCTGATCATGCAGTAAGTCTTTGAATGTAGAGTTCTCTGAGATCACATCTCCTCCACACAGTCTCTCATGACAGTTAAAACCAATAATAGAAACAAATTTTTGATAAGAAAAACAGAACAGAATATATACTAGACAGTGGGCAGGCAACGTTGGGGGAAAAAGAGAAGGGGAGGGGGGGGGGGGGTCTGCTTTCACAGATTCTGTTAGGTGATTCTTTCTACACTAAGATATTTCCTTTTTTCTTTCAGACATCTGCTGCATCTGTAATTCTCTTTATTTTTTGGTTTAGGAAGACGTCTGTCTCCAGTAACAATAGATTCACACTCATGAATAGAAAACAATGGAAGATGTTTCTCGTGCCAGCAGAATTCAAGTAAACAGCAAAGAATTAAGTCAGTATGAACTCCCTCAATATGCTCAACTACTTCACAACTGTTACACAGACGAATATACCAAAACTGAGGTGGAAGCCCAATATTGACCATACAATTCAGTAATGCGTCAGTTATGGCAGTACAAAATCCATAGTTGTTTAGAAGGTTAGAATGAAAGCTTCTTGATAATAACAAAAGGGACAACAAATAATAGTTTCAGTTATTTAGAAGGGACTGCTTGTCTATTGGTCCCTCTCTTGATTTATACATCTAACCTCATTTCTGATTCCACAAGGATTGCACTTACACTTCACATGAGCAGAATTTACCTGTTGGCGGTGGAGGTCTCTACCACGAAGCAAACCTCACTTGTGAAGGTTTTTCTTAATACAATGGAATATGACTCCTCTTTGGAGAGAATGAGTTTTTCTTTGGATTGGCATTTGCTGAAAGAACTGATTTTTTCAGTTATAGTACCAATGTACAGCAATCCTACAAGCAGCTCGTTCTTAGGCACAATGTCAAGAGAGTATTTCGCCTAAATGCTTCAACCTGTGCATATTTTTCTGATTATCGCAACCTAACATGTCCATATTCTCTTCTTTTTTCCAAGTTATTATGAACTCTCACCAAGCATTTATTGGCCTCATGATGAAAAATTCACAAGCACCAGCTAGAGGAGATTACAAATCTTTTAGCTTTTCCCATAGAGTATGGGGATTAGCCCTCTTATATTCTTATCAGCCAGACCCAGTACATCATTATTTCTTGGGGCAGTTATACAGCGACTATAAGCACATTTAATTTTGATTTTGGAAAAGGTCTAGGTGCCTATGTTTTACCTTTCATCAAACTAGCAAAGAATGTGACTGACAACGCATACATAGATGAGAGATGAATAGAAAAACAAATAGAACCAAAGGATCATAACCGGTCAAGGCCTTGTAAAGGTTTCCTTGTACAAGTGTTAAGAACTCAAAAATATACCCTTCCCAAAAGAAATTCCACACAGGAAAAATTAAAAAAGATGGACAAAAAACCACTTCACCAATTGCAAGTATAATGAGTAACCAAAACAGAAAAAAATAAAATGAAGTGTAATGTACAGAAGAACTCACCTAACCCGTATTTATCAAATTGATGATCAATATCCCAGCACTCATTGCTACAAAAGAAAATCAGGAATTACAGGTGATTGTGCTGCTAATGTTAGAGCCCCGTCTGCCCTTTGTCTGGATTTATGCTTGCCATGGTGATGGCTAACCTTCTGCTTATCTCCTTCTTCATGTTCATTTCTATCTTTTGCAGTACTTCTATGTTTCTTCTCTTTACCACGAGAATGGCGTTTGCTTCTTCTCAAATTTACATTTTCTAGTTCAGAATTCTCCATCATTTTAGAATCCTCTATTGGTCCAGAAGACTTGTCTACATCTAACTTGTCCTTCTGTCTTCTCTTACTTGATGACTTGTCAGACTTCTTAGCCCGTGATGATGATGTTGTTGCTTCATCACCTAAAAGAACATCTCTCACAGCACCAGAGATTAGGTCATCTTTTGACTCTACCTTTTTGGCAGGGATAAAAGGTCCATCCCCATCATCCAGTTTCACTACTACAGGCCTAGGCTTTGCTTGGTTTGCCTTTTTCTTAGAGAAGAGAGATTGTTCTGTCAGCTTAATCAGATCATCAGCCTCATCATCAGCATTCTCTCCAGTCTTCAGGTCATTAGCAGGTGGGTAATCATCATATGCCATCTCCTTTTTCTGTGACTGTAAATAATATAGCCCGTGACGTTTGCGATGCTCAGCAAGAAGAGACGTTGATTCAGTTGATTCATATTCTTCCTTACTTTGCCGGTCAGACATGGTAACATCATCCTTCTCAGAGGAAATTGATTTTCCAAGGGAGAAAGAAGTAGGTATATGCAACCCAAGGTCACCACATATGGCATCCAGATCATCCAGACTTTGATTAAGCACTATTCCTTCAGGCATAGGCACCCTTTCCTGAGAACTTGCTGAAACTGGACCAAGCTCTTCTGAAAAGGCTTCAGCAATTAGTTTGATCATTTCATGAGTCTTCTTTTGTCCCTTGTCATCATCTTCTTCCCTTTTCACCAAGTAACCAGGTAATTCTTCTCTTATCAGATCAACCAAACCAAGGACATTTCTTGACCTCTCCAGTATCTCCACCTCATGGCTTCCTGCTAGTGGCCCCAACGTTATTTCTACGAGATCTAATATGTTAAGTATAGACTCTTCAGTTATTGGCTCTGCTTTTGGCAATGTCGAGGACAACCACTCATGAGCAGTAGACATATCCTCAAAACTCTCTACTGAAGCATCCCTAACAGATTGATGTAACATCCTGGGATTCAACCCCCCATCATCTGTGTCACTATCAGCTACTGGTCCAGTTCTTACAAACTGAGAATTTTCCAGTACTCTTCCATGCATCAGATCTGCCACTCCTTGGGAAGCTGAAGAAATAACTCCCTTGGTAGAAATAGAGTAATACAGATAAAAGGTAAGTACTTTGAATGCAGACTGGATATATACAGCTTTTATTGATGATGGCAATAAACTGGTTCTTGGTTGCAGCAGTGCTTCCACAATTTCTGATGGATTTTTTGAAAAGCGAACATACTCCCCAGACACCCAAGCAGCTGCTGATAAAATCCTGTGTACAAAAGGATTGCCAAGCAATGCAGGATCAATAAGCAAATCACGGCCAACTCGAACAAGTTCTGGTCTTGCATCTTTGACTCTCATACCTATATCCACAAGCTGATTCTCTATTTCCTCCCCCTTCTGACAGTGTGGAATTCTCGACATTTCCCCAAGAAGTGATACATACCAATCAAAATCCACAATTATCTCATACACATTTCTTGAACATGTCAGCAAGATGCATCCCAGAATCTCATTACAGAACTCTGGGTCAGACTTAAGAGCATAATTAATCAAAACCTTGCAAATATCCACCACATTATCCTCAGAAACCATAGATAAAACAAGCTGCAAGGCCTCAAGTTTAATATTTGCATCTGCATCACTTAACGATTTAATCACAAAATCCTTATTCTCCAGGACTGCCCACAAATGCTTTGGTGCAACAATGGTAAGTGCTTGCAAACCAAGATACTTGAGATTTGGATCATCTTCATTCAAGAACTCCTTAATCTTCTCAACAGCAAGCCTCACAGCAGAATCATACTCACTGAAACTACTAACAATAGTCCTCACACACTCAAAAGCCAATGACTTTGCACCCGTTTTCTTCAAATGGTCACAAATCGGCTCCACCAGCTTTTTCCCCAACCTCGGCTCCAATGGAGCCAACTTCACAAAAATCTTTAAAACTTTAATCAACAGCCAATTATTGCGAGAATCCGCCAATATCTTATAAAACTCAGGCGCTAAA